GGCCGCACTGCCCGCAGACGTGCGGCTTCTCGCCCGCGTGCGCGCTGCGGTGCTGCACCAGATGCGAGCGCTGGCTGAATGCGCGGCCGCACTCCCCGCACGCGTGCGGCTTCTCGCCGCTGTGCGTGGCCCGATGTCGCACCAGGCGCGAGAGGTATTTGAAGCTCTTGTCGCACGTTTCACAAGTGTGGGCTGTCTGCGCTTTCATGTTTCTCTCGCGGGCCCCAAGGCGAGGACTAAGGAAGAGGCTGCGACCCCATTTACCGCCTTCCTGGGAACCTTCTCCTCTGGAGATTGTCCAGCACGTTCGGTGCAGTTGTCTCTCCTGGGAAAGGAAGTTCTCAAGGCTCCCTAACCTGCCCTCGTGACAAAGGGTCTCTCTGTAGACCCGTGTTGGAGGCTCACCCCCTGAGCAGCTTTCAGGTCCTCCTCCTTCAGGCTCTGCACCTTGAGTCATTTTCACCCTCGAAGTCACCTGCTTACACAGAGACCCCCAATCGGAATCTGAAACAAAGAAAAAACACCCACGCATTACCCTGTTTGAGTTCCCCCTACGGCCCTCTTCGTGTCCACAAGCACCAACCACCTGCCAGACCTCTCCCCAGGGTGTCTCACAGATGACCCCAGGCTCAGTGGCTGTGCCCATGTGCCTCCCGGTGCCAAGGGAATGACATCGTAAGTCCCAACGTTCCCCTCCACGTTTTCCTAGTTGAAGCTTGCAGGTGCTGCCAGCACCCTACGTCAGGCCTCTGGCTACCTGGGATCTCGGCCTAGTCGCAGCAGACAGCTCTGCTCCAGTGCACACCGCAGCCCTGCCCCTTCTCTGGAGCTCTGCGCTGCCACTACTCTGCGTTAGAGGTACTGCCCCAGAGTGGGAACGGAGGACAATATCCCACTGTCTTCCTTCCGATGGGCAATCCCAGACCCTTTAGCAGCCTCTCAGTGGTCCCAGTTCCAGGTCTGTCATGCTCCACGTGCTTGCAGCAGCAACTCTGTACTGAGTTTTCTTGCTCTCTGGCTCCCTCCCTGCTCCCTCTCCCCTGCTTCCAAAATTGTTGCCTTCCAAATACACCACCTATACCCCAAACTCTCAGGCTCTGCGCTCGGGGGACCCAAACTATAGTGACTGGTACTGGTCCTCAGGAAGGGTTTCTGGGGTGAGGCCCCTGCTGCTCAGATGCCCACAGGCCTCCAGTGCAGCATCCGGAGTCCAGGCCTCTGCTGTGGCAGACGGAGCGGGTAGGCAGGAGGGAGTGCACGGTTCTGGTGTCGTCCGTGCCCTCTGGTGTATGGACTGTGGGGTCACCTGGCTTTTGTAAATGTCCTGGATCGCACTGAGAAGAAGGACAGACTCAGGGCAGCCAGCTGCCCCCCCGGGAGGCCATGAGAGCCAGAGGCCTCCAGAGCTGTTCCAGAGCCCTCTGCTCCCCAGGCTGCGCTGACCGTGCAGCCCACGCTCAACCATAAGCAAGGCCAAACACCAGGGAGCAGGCGGGCACGGGCTGGACCATTGCCGTGGCTCAGATCAAGGCCTGGAGGTGGGGGGAGCAGGGCCCTGGGACCTGGGGTCGGGACGGATCATTGACCACAGTGCTCCTCAAGACAGATGGTGAGCAGCTGACCTGGCTGCTGCTCGACCTGGTGAACCAGACAAGGCCAAGAGACGGGAGGGGAAGGCCAGGGTCGGCCAGCGTGCTGGAGAGCCCAGCCCCTCACTCAGATCTGGGCAGTTCTCAGACCTGGGACCCAAGGGGAGCCTATAGAACCCCTCACACTGGATCTTCCACACGGGAGGGATTGGAGGCTGATCCTGACCCACACTGGTGTCTGCTCCAGACCCAGGTTTGCCTGAAACACCTTGGCCAGCACTCTGCTTCTAGGGCCCACCCCTGGTCTCTGGGCGTGGGAGCCACAAGTCACAGCTTCAGGCCAGGGGACCTACTTTGGGCGAAGGAAGTCAACAGCAATTGCAGGGCTCCCGGAGCCCCAGACGTGCACAGCAGCAGCAGCCGGACTGACAGAGCACTGCAGGGTCCAGCTAAGGAGCCAGCTGTGCCCCCCTGGAGGGCACAGGCACTGAGCCCACAGCAGGCGCACAAGGGCCAGAACTCATCGCCTGCTTGCAGAATTTTTGCTTCCTCTTACTAGAACCTTTGGCTCTGCGACAGAGACTGCATGGCCTGCAAAACCTAAAACACTTTCAGTCCCAGCCCCAGGCCTCCAAGGAGAGGAGGAGGGCTAAGAGTGAGTCCAGTCACCAATGGCCTATGATGTAACCAACTGTGCCCACGCAATGGAGCCTCCATAAAACCCCAAGCAGAGGGGTTCAATGAGCTTCTGGGTTGGTGACCACGTGGAGGTGCTGGGAGGGTGGGCCCGCCTAGACAGGGCATGTTGGCTCTAGTTCCTTTCCCTAGACCCTGCCCTATGCATCTCTTTCATTTGGCTGTATCTGAGCTGTATCATTTGTTATAAACAGCAACCCAGCAAGTACAGTATTTCCTTGAGCTCTCAGCTGTTTCAGCAAATTCATCAAACCCAAAGATTGGGTCATGGGAAACTCCAGTCAGTAGCTGGCTGGTCAGAAGCACAGATGCCAGCCTTGCCTTGTAACTGGCACCAGAAATGGGGCAGCCTTATAGGACTGAGCCCTTCACCTGCAGGGTTGGCACTAACTCTGGGTAGTCGGTGTCAGAACTGAATTGTAAGACACCCAGTTGGTGTGCAGAGAGCTGGAGAATTGTCAGGTGTGAGGAACTTCTCTACCCTCAATATTTGGTGTCAGAGATGTGAGAAGTAGAGAAACAGAAGTCTCCCTTTAAGGGCAGGTGGGTGGACACATCCTGACTGTGCAATGGCCAGCCAACGGGCCACCAGCACACAAGGCCAGCAGCCAATCTGGGAGGCTGGATATCTGACCTGACCAATGTTCGACGTTCCAGCTTTCACCCCTGTGCCAATGGCACCATCTGGAGTCTAAGACCCTCAACAGTGAGAACCAACCCCAGCCCAACTGTCATGAGTTGAGCCAAGAGCACCCCTCCACACACTGGCCAGTTTGGTTGGAATTCCTGCTCCTCGTAACTGATAGTTCTGGTAGCTCATCCTATGGGGTTGTTGGGGGAGAAAGTGAGGCCAATTTGTAAAGCACCTGGCACAGTGCTGGGCTCCTGGAAAGTTCTCCACAACCTGCAGTGATGGGGAAGGCACAACCACAGCCTTTACACCACAGCTGCTAATGAGCTACCTGTTTTCAGCCTGATGGATGTCCATGTACCTGGGTAATAACACCAAGCCATGAGCTGACAAGAGTGCACTTTATGACTCTGTGTGACTGTCTGCAATGATGCTGGCTGTGTACACTGACTGGACATACTGAACAACCTGAGGCCTGTGGCTCCCCTCACTCACCTGTGCCAGGGTCTCCTGGGGTCTCTCTCTCCTTGGTTTCCAGCATCTCCAAGCCCCAGGGCTCCTTTCCTTGCTCCAGCTGGGAGATCAGATCTGGTTTGGATCCTGGACCTCCTGCCCGAGAGGAAATGGGTGAACTGAAGTGCTAACATACCCTTGGCCTCCCTGCCCCAGAGGTAGCCTGGGAGTGGGTGGCTAGCAGGCCCCGGGATGCAGGCTCAGAAATAGGGGATCTCCCCAGGAGGTGGGGGGACAGAGAGCCGGGCAGGGATGTGGGCTCAGGGCTCAACTGAGGACCGTAGCTGTGAGAGATGGGGACAGACACTCTACTCAAAGGGGCAGCAAAGGGCTGGGAGGGCCCTGCCCCAGGGATGGGAGAGGAGGCACCTGCCCTGGTAATGGACTCAGAGACCCCACCTGTCTCCTGGGCCTGGGAGCAGAATGTCCTGGCTCTGGTCTGAGTCACAGCCAGCCTGGCCCCTCTGAGATCCCACCCGAGCTCTGAGTGGGGGCTGGGGGTGAGGAGGAGGGAAGGCCTGGGGCTGAGACACCTCACCCAGGGAGGCCAGGTTCCTGTAAGTCTCCAGCATCACATCTCTATACAGGGCCCTCTGCCCAGGGTGCAGACGTGCCCCTTCTTCCTGGGTGAAGTGCACAGCCACGTCCCCAAAGGTCACCGGGCCCTGAAACAACACCGGTGCTGCCCATGGGGTCACCACATCAGGATGGGGTGGGGGAGTTCAAGGTGGAGGGGGCAGACGGCTCACCAGCAGGTGTGTGGCACAGATGGGTTGTGGGGTACTGTGGCACCCCTGGACTACCTCCTGAGTACCCTGCCTGCCAAGGGACTCCTGATGACAACTCTCAACCCAAACTGTCCAGCTGGCCTCATTTCTCTCCACCCTCCATCCACCCAACCTGCTCCCTACCGTCTTCCTTGGTGAGTGTCCCGCTCCAGCCTGGGAGGGGGGAGGGGGTCGAGTGGAGGGGGTGCGACAAAAGAGGACGGGTCAAGGGAGGCCCCTGAGTCCCGTCGTCCTGGAGAGGCCCTGGCATTAAGGGCCCTGGGCGCAGTGGGCTCTGAGGAAAGATCTTCTGGGAGGCAAGAAGCTCAGACCCCGGGGACAGACGCTCACCTGGGGCCAGGAGGCCGGGGAGCTGCCCGCCATGCTCCGGGGCGAGGGCAGTGGCGGCGGCAGGGCGGCGGGGCCGGCTGCGGAGAGTAGAGCGGGCAGAGGAGGGCGGTGGGCCCGGGGTCCCAGCTACGAGGCTGGCGGGCGACTGGAGCCTCTCCCGGACGCCGACGCTCTGCGTTAAAAGTGACCACCGGGGCGAGCGGGTCAACG